ATGAAAAATCTGTAATATATTAAATTCTATAGTTACCTTACATAGTTTTGATTACTTAGTCCGTTTACCACCCTAATAGCATATAGTAAAATTTTGCAAGGAATTTGTTTAATTAGAACGCTAAAGGTGGTTTTTAGTCGAAATTTTGAGCCATAGCGAATTTTTGAAAATCTTCTATGTTTTCTTCGTTTTCGGGTTACACAAACGTTACACCTGATTCCGTGGCGTGATTGGCCAATTGCCACTGTCACTGTGTCACCGCTGGCAACAAATAGATTCGCTCTATTTTTAATTCATATGCCATATAACAATAAACAAATAAAATAAATTTGGTTATATAATTTAGCGCATATGCATTGTAACACATCCAAAATTGTGCAAAAAATTTTTTTATTAAAACACAAAAGATGGTTTTATAAGCAAAATTTTGAGTTATTAAAGGTTTTTTAAAAAACACACCTAATCAACCAAGCAAATTGTAAGATCAGGTGTAATATGAATCAAAAAAATATTAATATTTTGAAAAAATTACTTGTAACTCATAATTTTGCATATGAAACCACCTTTTGTATTCTAATAAAAAAAATTCTTGCAAAACTTTGAGTATAATTAATATTTATCTACAATTTAATCTAATCCTACATTAGTACTAACCTTTACTCTAATTAATATATTATTGATTTGTTTTGATTTTACATTATACTAGATCATATGAGATGTATTACAATACATGTGCACTAAATGATAAAATTTAAATAAATTTATAATTATAAAAATAAACAGAAATAATAAATAAAATAAATAATTCAAACAACTCTCCCCAACATTCACTTGGATCAACTAGTACTGAAAGCAAGTTGAAGACTCAAGGCCAGAGTTAACAACAACTTGAAGTTTTCTTGATACAAACTGTTGTTGATAAAATTTCTAAATGTGATACACCAAGGAGCAGGTGTTTTGAATAGTTTGCAAAAAGGTCAAGCCTTGTTTTCATGCTTTCTTGGGTAGATTTCCTTTTGTATTCAGCATCCAAACTAAAGAAGTCTCTGGAAACAGCAAGTAGAAAAAAAAACTCAGAAAGTTTAGAGATGGAAAGACATGATGAACTTTTGAAAAAATTCTCTTTAGTTAGAAACTCGCAAAACCAAAACTTTTCTCACAGCTTTGATATTTCCAAAACTAATTTTTGATAAAATATGGAAGATTTGGCTACCCCTCATCAAAAGATTAGCATTGTTTACTACTTTTATATTTGGCAACTCTATGATATAAATACAACAAATACATGGTTACATAAAAAAGTATTTATTCCTTATTTGGGAATGTGGTCCCTAATGTCAAAGATTCAAAAGATTTTTAAGAATTTACATATTAAGTAGATAAGGTGAAACATAGTGATTGGAATCGTATCGGTTTATAATCAGATATTCAGATTAAAATAACAATCTAATTTAAAATAAAAATTATATTAATTATAAATTTAATTTTATATATAAAACCGGTTTAAATTGGTTTAAACCGGTTTTAATATATTTAATTTTTGTATTTTTAAAAACTTTTATATTTATATAGAAATAAAATATCTTATTTATTAGTTAACATATATATATACTATAAAATAGAAACGCTTAGAATAATACTTATAGAATATTTATAAAAAATATATATAATCATAAATTATCTAAATTTAACTATATAATTAAGGAAAAATTTTAGTAATAATATTCATATTACGTTTAAGAAATAAAATTCTTTCAAATAAAATTTCATTTAGCTGTGTTCTTTTACTAGTCATAATATTTCTGCTATCAGAAAATAAACGTTCACTAGCAGTAGAAGTAGCGAGAATTGAAAGATATTTTTAAGCTAAATTAGAAAGAATTGGAAATTTTGTTTTTTCATTATCCCACCAAGTAAAAGGATTAGCATTATAGCTTATTTTTTTATTTCTAAATATAAATCTACTTCATTATGTTCTAATTGCTCTTGATTACCAAACATAAGATTAAGTAATTTATTATTTATATTAATATTAGTAGATTTATGATAAAAATTAGTTTGATTTGTATATTTTTGAACTAAATCTCATATAGCTTCAATTGCTTGCTCTCATTTCCATTCAAAAAATTTATCTATTTTTTTACATTGTGGATCCAAAAATATTGCAATTAAAGAACTTTCTAAAGGTAATTTCTAATAATATTTTAACGCTTCATATAGTATATTTTTTACTTTATATACTAGTCCCTTAGTTTCAATAGACTCATTTATATTTATTTCCTTAGTATCTATAGTAATTTCGATTTCATTATCATAATCATAATCTACAATAATTTCTTCTTCATCAAATATTGTAGTAATATCATCAAAATTTATATTATTAGATTCAGATTCAATTTGATAATTCTCATAATCACTTGCTTTAGGTTTACAATTTTGTAATAAAACTTTAATTGCTGGTAACATAAAGCTTATAGTAGAATAAGTACTACCTCCAAGTAAAGTAGTTGCTTCGGCAAAAGGTGCTAATAAATTTATTAATTGTTCTAATATTTGCTATTCATTTTAGTTAACATAATTGCATGAAGTCGCTTAGCATCTTTTTTGATATTATAATCAAATTTAGCATCCATTGTTGCTAACATTATATCTAATGCTTTTTGAAGTTGTAACAATCGTTTCCAAAATATATATAATGAATTTCATCTAGTAGACACATCTGCAATTGCTCAAATATATGTTTCTTTTTGCTTATTAATTTCATCCTCAGATATTCGAAGTACCTTTTGAGCTTCTATTAAACGTTCAGTTTGTTTTGGTGATAATAAAAAATTAATTAACCTTTTAGTTCGAATAACTAGCATTTTAGCAGGCTTAAGTCCTTTTCTAATTGCTAATTGGAGTGTATGGGCAGCACAGAAAATTCTGTCTATATTTTTTATAAGCTTCATAGTCTTGATCATATTTATCGCATTATCACTTGTTACATGATCAACTTTATTATTTAACCCCCAATCATTAATAATTTTTTCTAAAACAGTTGCAATTGTTTTAGAATCATGAGGATAAGGAACATAATGCATAGCTAAAGTAACCTCATTTA